GGTTTACTCCTCAAGTGCAAAAGCCAGAGCTGGACTGGTCTGAACCCAGGGGCTTCTTCTGGGTGTATCATGTGGGTACCAGGGCCCAAGGACTTGGGCCACCCTCTGCACCTTTCCCAGACACACTAGCAGGGAGCTGGGTTGGAGGTGGAGCAGCCGAGACTCAGTCTGGTGCCCACATGGGATGTCGGCGACATAGGCGGCAGCTTCACCTGCTGTGTTACAGCTCCAGCCCAGATGCAAAACCTTTTGATTGATTTACAGCCATCGATGGATTTGCTAGTCAGTGGGCTCAGGGTCCTTTAAAGACCCGGCCCAGAGGAAAGGAGGACATATTTTTTGATCTGCAGAGTGACCAAGGGGCAACATGAGGATGTTCTCCAGCAAACAAGACACGCGATCTTTCCTTGTCCTGTGAACCAAACATTCCCGAAAGACATCAGTGTAACTTGAGCAATTCCCACGTTGGAATGGAAGAATTCCAGTGTTTCATTTGCTGAAGCGAGCTCCTTGGAACTCAGGATGCATTCTCCATGGCAAGCAGATCATGCATGCTAGCTGACTGTGTTTAAACCCTAGTGCTCTAAAGTAGAGTTTCTTTTTTGTTTATTTTTTTAAGATTTTTTTTTTTTATTGGAAAGTCAGATTTACAGAGAGAGGAGAAACAGAGAGAAAGATCCTCTGTCTGCTGGCTCACTCCCCAAGTGGCTGTAATGGCAGAAACTGAGCCAGTCTGAAACCAGGAGCCAGGAGCTTCTTCTGGATCTTCCACATGGGGGCAGTGTCCCAAGGCGTTGGGCCATCCTTGACTGCTTTCCCAGGTCACAAGCGGGGAGCTGGATGGGAAGTGGAGCAGTTAGGATTAGAACTAGGGCTAACATGGGATCCTGGCACATGTAAGGTGAGGACTTTAGCCACTAGGCTATCGCACCCAGCCCTGACATAGAGTTTCAGCAGGGCTATGGACTTGGCTACCAGATGAATGTTGTTTACCTAGGAAGGTGTGTGTTCAGGAGTCAGCTAAAGTGCTGGGATGGGGGATTCTTCAACCCCTCCCACCGTCCAGCTCTGTCCCCAGGGCAGAGCCCTGCCTCTTTGCCTACAGATGTTACTGGGAGGACTTGGGGAGTTTTGGGGTCTGGGAGGCATAACCCTGGGAGAAGCTGGGGGTCCTCCTTGTTCAGCTGCAGTAGCTCCCGGCTCGCTTGCCTTTCTTTTCATCCTCAGATCCGGAAGGCTGATTCTCTCCCTTGACTCTTCACTGTCTCAATCTTTTTCAGAGAGAAGCATCTTGGTTTTTACAATGAGGATTCCCCTCTACTGGCCTGGTTTTGAAGAGAAAAAAATGTACTTTATTCCAAACTCGATGGAATTTAAAAAGCTGACTTACCCCGAATCATCTTCTTTTCTACTGTATGTATATTCTACGGAGGAAGGCCTAAGCCTTAGGGAATGATGAATGTGTGTGTGTGTGTGTGTGTTTTCTATGGGAAGCTTGTGTGAGACTTTTCCACACGTTAGGAGGAATTCTACACTTGGGCTTTCAGAAACATTTCCTCAGCAGTTACGGCTGATGGAGTTTTGGACGGAAGGGTGTGAAGGTGGGGATCCTCTGACTGAGGGTAAAATAAGGACGTGGGGACGGGTAACCACTAGCACCCCCTAGTGTCGAAAAGCAGCCATGTTGAGTGGAGGAGTTGGCTTGGAGCATTTTTGTTTTGTCTTAAATCACTTTATGCCTGACGGTAATCCTTGGTGCTGGGTCAGACTGCTCAGACTTTTTTTTTTTTAAAGATTTATTTATTTCTATTGAAAAGTCAGATTTACAGAGAGAAAGACAGAGTGAAAGATCTTCCATCTGCTGGTTCACTCCCCAAGCGGCTGCAACGACTCAAAACTGAGCTGATCCAAAGCCAGGAGCCAGGAGCTTCTTCTGGGTCTCCCCATGCAGGTACAGGGTCCCAAGGCCTTTTGGGCTATCCTTTACTGCTATCCCAAGTCACAAACAGTGAACTGGATGGGGAGTGGAACAGCTGGGACACTAACCAGCACATATATGGGATCCGAGCGCACGCAAAGGTGAGGACTTTAGCCACTAGGTTACCGCACTGAGCCCTGTTCAGAGACTTCTTTATTTTAAGATTTTATTTTTATTGCAAAGTTAGATATACAAAGAGTAGGAGACACAGAGAGGAGGAAGATCTTCTGTCCGATGATTCACTCCCCAGGTGAACGCAACGGCCCAGTGCTGTGCCAATCCGGAGCCAGGAGCCAGGAACTTCCTCCTCCGGGTCTCCCACATAGATGCAGGGTCCCAAGGCTTTGGGCCGTCCTTGACTACCTTCCCAGGTCACAAGCAAGGAGCTGGATGGGAAGTCGAGCTGCTGGGATCAGAACCGGCGCCCATATGGGATCCTGGCACATTAAAGGCAAGGACTTCAGGCACTAGACCACCGTGCAGGGCCTCCTGCTCAGAGACTTTTGAATACTGAAGTGCTTCAAGTAATTCAGAGAAAGCAGCCAGGAATGAAAACACTAAGATGCCATCAAAAGGCACTGAAGGTAGAGAGGCAAAATCTAAAATGCTGGTGTCGTGGCACAGTGGATAAGGTGGTTGCCTGCAGTGCTGGCATCCCATACAGGTGCTGGTTCGTGTCCCAGCTGCTCCACTTCTGATCCAGCTCCCTGCTATACCTGGGAGTGAAAGATGGTCCAAATCCTTGGGCTTCTGCGCACATGTGGGAGACCCACAAGAAGCCCCTAATCCACGTTGTTGATAATCTTGGATCCATGATTTGTGTCTGAAGGATGTGGTGTTAATTTTAATACTGATTCAACAAGTATTTATTCAATATCTACCCTAAGCCAGGCAAAGGAATACAATGATTAGTTAATACTGTATGTGCTTTGCTATTCTCACGGAGTTGAAAATGACTGAAGAAAGCATTACTATGTTCATATATTTACTGTGTTTAAAACTTACTTTTTACTTGAAAGGCTGAGATATATCTTTATTAATTTTTTAAAAGATTTATTTATGTATTTAGAAAGCCATAATTACATAGAAGAGAGAGAAGCTTCCATCTGCTGGTTATCTCCCCAGATGGCCAGTGTTGGACTGGGCCGAAGCCAGGTTGAAGCCAGGAGTTTCGTCTGGGTCTCCGAGATACTCGGGCCTTCTCCTGCTGCTTTTTCCAGTTCATTAACAGGGCGGTGGCTCGCAGAGTAGAGCAACCAGAACTCCAGGCATTCCGATACAGGTTAATGGTACCCCAGGTGGTGACTTAGCTGCTGCACTAAATGCCCACCCTCACTTCTTGGAATTATTAAATAAAACCTATTTTGGATTTGGTCAATTATGTCAGTGTGGAATTGGCCTTAACGTAACAGCACATTCGGAAATGCAAGTTTAAAGCTTTTTCCTGCTGGAACTACTTTCATTTCAGACACACTGCGCACCTCTCTCTGGTTCTGCAGTGTAGAAAAGCATGTTGGCTGATAAACACATTGATTTCAGAAACACACGTGCGAAATAGTTGGAAGGCTTATTTTAATACAGGCAAAACATTGTCTTCAGAATTTTGTGGCGATCGGAAAGAGTGACTTCACAGTTTACCAAGAGCTTCGGAATTTATCGTGGGGATTTTGCAATGCTTGTAGGAAAACCCAAGGACTGTGGGGGAAGGGCATTCAAGGATCAACAAAAGCAGGATCACTTTTTCTAAGCTGAAGGAATCACTTTTATGCCCTGAGAGGCCATTAATGTCCCCCAAAAAATAAAGGCCTTAGCCTCTGCTAAGAGCCCATAAGATACGAACTTTTACCTCAGGTAGCATAATTAGGGCTTGGAAAACCATGGGAAAGTAAACAAACAAAAACCAAGAAACATTACAACTGCTCCTGTGACAATCAGCTAACAGAAGTTCCAACAAACTCCAATCAAGTACCCATCGTTTCTGGGTCCTGAATCTCTTGGGGGCTGGGTTTTGTCTTCTTCTCACTGGGGTTAGGCAAGGAGACTGGAGTCAGGAAGATGGGTGAGTTTGGGTCAAGCAAAGGCCCACAGCTAGCATTACAGGAGATGGGAACTCCTTCGCAAATGTTCTCTAGGACAGGGGCCTGTGGTTCTTGAAGTTAGCTGTGCTGTGGCGTGGCCCTCACCTGGAGATGGCTGTGACAATTGTTGCAAAACAGGGACGCAATTATTTTTCTTTCAATTTCTTTCTTTCCGCCCTTCCTTTCCCTTCCCCTCCCCTCTCCTTTCCTCTTGTTGTGACAAGATCTGCCACAGGGGTTAAACTTTTACAATCCTCATTTTGATTAGGCAATTATAAAGTGCAAGACAAAGTAAAGTTCTACTGTCAGCTGCAGTTCAAAGTATTAGTGTTTAAGTTGAAGTTAAATTGTTTTGGGAGGAGAACTTTGAAAAAAAAAACAGCCTTATGAAATTTATAGTGTAAACTTAACAATTAATATACTAATACTTCTCCCCCACCCCCCGAGCATCAGATGGGCATTTTTCTTTACCATCACTTGAAATTAAAAATTACAGATCAGGTGAAGCTTTCAAGAAAAAAAAAATAGGGAAGGAACAAAACTCAAGATTATTCAATAGTTTTTACCAATCCTGGACAGAAATCTGCTTTTTGCTTTCTAAAAAGGCAGTTTGCCAAAAGAGAATGAATTCCTTTCACTGGAGCCATTGCCCTATCCTTCACATGAGAGCCAGGAAAACTAACGTAGGGGTACATTTTATCTACAAACTAGAGTGTAAAGTAACCAAATATAAAACAGTGGGGGTGCTGTATACCATCCAACAGCAGCAAATAGGTACAGATGGACATTATGATTTTGTTTCCCCTTAAAAGCCACACCCTGTCCATTTCCTGAGTTCACTTGGCCATGGCATTGGCTTGGCTTGTTCTTGTAGGGGAGTTGGCAGATGCGAGGAGGGAGGCATGGGGTTGGTTCGGTGGCCAGGGTCAGGTTAACCGAAGGGTTCATTCTGGCTCCAGAATGGGAAGTTGATCATCCTGACTTCCCCGGACCGGGAGGGGGTCATCCCCACTCCTGGGCGAAGCAGGCAGGCTGTCACTGCCCAGCGCTCTGCCACCTGCGACTCTAGACTTGATGCTCCCCATCAGCCCTTCGAAGGCCCTGAGCTTCCTGCAGATGGCAGAGCCCACGGTGGACAGGGCGGCCGACGTTTTCTGTCTCACGGAAGCGTTGGAGCCCCGAACCTCACGCCAGCTCTTGGACGGGTTCCGTCTGAACCCCACCGAGGGCAGGGGCGCCAACCTGCTCCTGAGCTCCCCACAGCGCCCCTCTTTGGCGGCCAGCTCTTGGCGGAGCAACACGATCTCCGCCTCCAACCGGGCCAGCTCCACTCTGAGCTCCACGTGCTCGGCTCCCATCAGGGACTCGGACTCGATGCCGTGCGCTTCGCAGGGACCCGGAGGAGGGGTCTCCGCCATGGCGGCGTCTGGCGTGGTCTGCACAAGAAGGTCTTCACTTAGACAGCCCAGGTCCAACTCTTGATAGAGAGACTCTGTTTCTCGACTGGCACAGAAATAATCTTGTCTGGCAGGGTCAAAATCCAGGCCTGCCGCCTGGGAGTCCTGGCAGGAGCGCAGGCCGGAAGTCTCCATTGCTCGGACTGCAGAAATGGACGGCTTAGCTGGGTGGTGGTGGTGGTGGGGGCGGGGGCCGGAAACACTTCCGGGTAGACGGGGGTCGAGTGGGGCCGAGGAGGCGGACTTCCGGGCCCCATGGGGCGGCGGCAGCGGTGGCAGCGATGGTGTTGCTGTCAGCTCAGGTGCCAAGTAGGCGCCTTCCTGGCCGGGCTTGTTGGCATCAGGACGAAGACCTTGTGAGGTGAGTGCTGTGGCGGCCGCCGTGGAGAGTTTAACCCTCCTTCCCCTCCTGCTCCCCCAGCCGGAGCCGGGGACACATGGAGCTATCCGGAGGCTGTTTTTGGTTTGTTTTGCTTTTAAACCTCCTTAGCAGTCTCCAAGCCCTTAACATCAGTTGAACCTTTGTGCTAACGGAACTTCACGGAAAGGCCCAGTACCATAGAGTGTGGGTGGGGGGTTAAGGATTCCTAGGGTTGTCTTCGTCGGCGTCCTGCGGACCTCTGCCAGGTGGCCATTGGTGCCCGCAGAAAGTTCTAGCACCGCGCTGGAAAGCGGGCTGTGCAAGTGCCCCGTGTTCTCACTGAATTGTCGACAGGGCCAGAGACCTCCATAGCAGGACGTGGAAAGGGAGTCTAAATAGTTCTAGTGGTCTGCTGTTTTCGGGAAGGGGTGATTTAAATCTGATAAACGTAATAAAAACGAAGATGATTGCACTGTGCTAATTTAGGGAAGAAGGGCTATGTGCGAAGAAGTAGGGCGTGCGTTTTGGTTTTGTTTATAACAACGGTGTTTATTTTCCTTTTGAAGTTTTTTACCTTATGTTTAATATTGTTTAAAAGAGATGTGAACCTCTGAACAGGGCAGGAGGGTCGAAGTGTGGAGGAAGATGCGGGACAAATGTTTCCTTTTTTTTTTTTTTCCTGTGTCCTTAGGGTAGGGGGCTGCTACTTGTTATCAAACTACATCAGCACGGGGGTGGGAGGGACAGGTCATCTGATGACACTGACGTGGGGAAGAATGTTCTGAGGATGTTACTTGAATGCTTTTGCTAGTTCTAAGATGTTGTTGAGAACATGGATTTTAAATAAGCCCGTAGTGCTTTGTTTTTCCCTCCTGTATTACGATGCGCATTTATCGTTGCTGGTTGTGAGAGGTGGTCTACCTAGTAAAGAACTGGTTAGGTAGGTTCTATCAGAGTTTCAACCCACTATATTTCCTATTTATTTTAAAAATTGATTTATTTTATTGGAGGGGCAGATTTAGAGAGAAGGAGCGACAGAAAGATCTTCCATTTGCTGGTTTATTCCTCAGGTGGCCACAATGACTGTAGCTGAGCCGAGCCAAAGCCAGGAGTCAGGAGCCTCTTCCGGGTCTCCCACGCAGGTGCAGGGTCCCAAGGCTTTGGGCCATCCTCGACTGCTTTCCCAGGCCACAAGCAGGGAGCTGGAAGGGAAGCGGGGCTGCCGGGATAGAACCAGCGCCCATATGGGATCCCGGGGTGTGCAAGGCAGGAATGTAGCCACTGAGCCATCCCATTGGGTCCTCTAATGTCTTTAAAACCAGATTTATTGTTTTTTTTTTTAATTTTTATTTATTTTGAAAGCAGAACAATACAATGTGTGTGTTTGTGTGTGTGTGTGTGTGTGTGAGGTGGGGTGGAGAGGGGACTGAGAGAAGGCATGAGCTTGATCTTGCATTTCTTTACTGGTTCATTGCCCAAATGGCCAGAACGACAAGGTGTCTGGCATGCACTCCATCTGAGCTGCCTTGGGGAGGCAGGAGCCCACACGCTTGTGCTGTCCTCTGCTGCATGAAAGCAACAGACTTGAAAAGTAAAGGGAAGTTTGGAAGCGGAAGGGATGCTGAAGTCCTGGAGTTTGGCAGTGAACTGTTAAAAACTAACAGAATGTGGAGGCCCAAAGAGGTTGATTCACTGGTATCTTAAGGCTGCAGAGAACTGAGAACACGCAGGTAATTAACAGGAAACTCATAACTCATAACCTTATTAGAGGCTGTGACCATTGTGTTGGCTATGCAAAAACGGAAAAGACAAAACAAAAACAAACTACAACCCGAACTCGACTCTACTCCCCAGGAGCTTAGCTATTCTTGTCTTAGAACTGTCAGGCCTGCCATGGCAACAGCTTAATCATGGCTTTATTTCCTTGATTCTGAGACATAATCAATTGTTACACACATCTTTTTTTTTTTAAAGATTTATTTTTAAATTATTTTTTATTGGAAAGGCGGATATACAGAGAGGAGAGACAGAGAGGAAGATCTTCCGTCCGATGATTCACTCCCCAAGTGAGCGCAATGGCCGATGCTATGCCAATCCAAAGCCAGGAGCCTCTTCCGGGTCTCCCACGCGGGTGCAGGTTCCCAAAGCTTTGGGCTATCCTTGACTGCTTTCCCGGGCCACAGGCAGGGAGCTGGAAGGGAAGCGGGGCTGCCGGGATAGAACCGGCGCCCATATGGGATCCCGGGCGTGCAAGGCGAGGACCTTAACCACTGCGCCACCATGCCGGGCCCTGTTACACACATCTTAACTTCAATAAGGGGTTTCTAAGAGGAAAGACCTGTTTTATTGTACACTGATTTTAAGTTGCAATCCATATTTAGAAACATTGATACCACAAAATCACATCTTAAAATTGAAGAAATGCAACGGTAATGTAGCAAGTTACAAACAGCAGTGGTTCCGCTTGATTCTTCTGAAATTTAGATTGGCCCTTTATTTCCACTGGTTCTGCCTCCCTTTCTGAGGGAGAAAACAGAGGGAGATGAGCACATTACTGTTGTAATAAGAATAATGAAGAGTTTTCATGCTTATTGACCACGTGGTACAAGCCATGACTTATTCTAAGTGCTATTAGATGTTATTTCATCTGCATACTTTTCTTGAGATGTAGGGGTTGTCAAGACTGTTTGCGGTCCTGGTTATGGTGGCCTAGTGGCTAAAGTCCTCGCCAGGATCCCATATGGGCGCCGATTCTAATCCCAGCAGCTCCACTTTCCATCCAGCTCCCTGCTTGTGGCCGGGAAAGCAGTTGAGGACGGCCCAAAGCCTTGGGACCCTGCACCTGCGTGGGAGACCTGGAGGAAGCTCCTGGCTCCTGGCTCCGGATTGGCACAGCACTGGGCATTACAGTCACTTGGGGAGTAAATCATTGGATGGAAGATCTTCCTCTCTGTATATCTGACTTTGTGATAAAAATAAAATATTTAAAAAAAAAGACTGTTCACCTCTGTGAGGCTCAGTTTTCTCATTTTTGCGGGTCAGGCAGCCAAGAGACAGTATAATTGTCCGAGGTCACAGTTTTGAAGTGGCAAACTTGGGATATTACTCTGTAAAATAAGAATTAGATATTTTTCAAGATTTCACTTAAAATTCTTTTTCTAAAAAATTTGTGTAACGTATCAAGCATACAAAATAAATATATGTACTTTTGAAAAGTATAAATTGTGCGTAATTAGATCTTCACCACTGAACAGATATACGTTTTCAGTGCCTTTGAAATTCTTTACGCGTTCTCTCTTGGTCCCTACAACCTCATTGCACAATTTTGAATATCCCTCTTCATAAGAATTTGTCATCTATGAATGTATCATAACACGGTATATTCAGTGTTCTATGTTGTTGAACCCTCTCTAAATGCAGTCAGACCTTATGTATTCCTCCGTGAATTGCCCACCTGTGCTAATGGCGTTACTGTAGTTTGTTTTCACTGCTGTGTAGTATTACTCAGAACACATCAGCTAAATCATACCCCTGTTTATATATTTCACCCTTGATGGAAGCTGTTAACAGAAACGCTGGATGACTTGATAGTCAGTTTCTTGTGTCATTTTTGCAAGAAAACATTAAATGCATTAAATATATGAGTAAGACTCTGCATTCCTGAAATATACTCTGCAACTTGTTAAAATCCGCATCTCTCTGATCTCTTTTCTCACTGCTTTCCGTCATGTGCTCTATACTGTACTCTTTCTTGGCACACTAAATAGGTGTAAGTTTTTTTTGTTTTTTTTTAAAGATTTATTTTACTGAAAGACTTACAGAGAGACAGAGACTTTCCATGTGCTGGATGAATCACTGTCCAAATGGCCACAGTGGTCAAAGCTAGGCCAGTTCAAAGCTGGGAGGCAACAGTTTCTTTTGGGTTTTCCATGTGGGTGCAGGGGACCAAGCCCTTCGGCCATCCTCCGCTGCTTTCCCAAGTGTATTGGCAGGGAGCTGGATCAGAAGTGGAGCAGCCAGAACTGGAATCAGCATCCATATGGAATGCCAGCACCACAGGTGGAGGTTTCACGTGCCATGGCACAGCGTGGACCCTACGTTGGTGTAGGCTGGATAACTCTGGTCCAGTTCAGGTGTCTCCTGGATGAGAGGCCTCCCTCCACGATGTTTACGTTGGGTGATTTTCTTTATACTGACAGAGCAGGCTTCCTGCTGCTATCTCAGAATGTAATCCAGGTTGTCTTTCTACAGTTTTCACTATATTTTTAATTAAAAGCGTGGAGTTTCTCTGGATGCCTGGAAATACTATATACTATATATATACTATATAGAAGATATGCTTTATATGGTTATAACTTGAATGAAGGGGAGACATGAAAGTGTCACTTAGAATTGTCAGTACCCAACTTTTCAGATGACCTGGGTTAAGGTGAGGGCATAAATTATATCTTTGTTGGCAAAAGAAAAAAAAAAGATGGATAGATTACATGTTATTTTCATTTGTCTTTAGGACAAATATTCCAGAGGGGTTTTTTTTTTTCAATAGTAAGAAGATAAAAGCTGTCTTTTTGTCTGGAGTTTAATTCTCTGGCATGGCAAACAAAATCTTTAGTTTGGTTTCCTCTTTGCATTCATGTTACACTGGCTTCTTTTGGACATCTTACTAAGAAATACCTAAGAGATGGGTGGAGGGATGGGAGGAGATGGGAAATAAAACTCAAATTAGGGCCCGGTGCGGTGGCACAGTGGTTAAGGTCCTCGCCTTGCACGCACC